ACTTCATTTCTATTCGTATTGAAAATGGCAAATATATCATCCAATGATTGGATCCAGGTTCGTGGAAAGTAAAGTAAAAACTTCAGTCATGAATATTAAATCAAAGATTTATAAAAAAAATTATGAAACTTGTCTTTATATACGAATACGAGAAATAAATTATCCAAAACATTGTCAATATGTGCCCAGTGACTATAAGTTTAACTGAATAATTCTCATTTGTCGAATGATTATCATAGGTAATTAATTATAAACTCATTGTTAGAGTATAAATCATCTTCTTTTGTTGGTTTAATCCTTTCAGTCGTTTCATAAAGAATTACGACTCTTTTATTAAGTTATATTCCTGTCTGTCAAACTTATTTCATGGACACAGATAATAGTTTTCACAGTAGTTTCTCTTAAGCTATTTTGTTTTGGAAATATTCTTGAGATTGGAAGATTTAGGAATATAAATGTTTTATGATTTTTCCAATAATATTTTAAACAGATGGTAGAAAAATATGAACCAAAACCAGTAGCTTCCAGAGCGTCCTCAGCTTTGCATAACTCAGACGAAGAGAATTGTAGAAAATTTTTAAAGTTGCTTCACGTCAGTACAAATAAATCACTTATATGTCTTTTTTCCACTACAATCAAATGAAAACTGTATAGGAAAAAAGCTTTTGGTCTTAGATTTCTTCATTATTGAACAAAAAATATAGGACACTTACAAAAAAAGTGAAGTGTGAGTTACCTTTTATGTTAATACTTTTTCATATATTATATCGTGTTGCGTTCATATGAATGAAATGATTTTGACTTTTTCTTGTTGGGCCTTTTTTGACGACAGTAAGATTTTTCATTGTGAATGACTGATTCGAATTTCTGGATATTCAATTCAGTTTATTGTCCCAAGAAACAATGGATACTTATAATTACGGACTATAAGTAACTTACTGGAGACACCTTACATTTTATTCTATGAAAGAGAGAAGAGAAGACGTTGGCAGATCAAGATGTTCAGATGATGTGGTGCTGCAGGTTTTTCCGGGTTTTCCTGCATCTGAAAAAGCAAATGCGCCACAGAAATCAATCAAGTCGCCCCGGAACGCCAATTGATTTTTATGGTTTCATAATTTCATGATTTGTAATTACTTTCTTCTTCAATATAATTGCAGATATTCTGACTCTGTTAAATATACTATGAAAACCTAGTTTAATAAGCTACATGTCAAAATATTTCTAATGGTCAAAAACTAACAATACTGGAAATAATATCAATGTACTTACCTTGCAAAATCAATCTTTTCTTGCCTTCTTTCCCCTACGTGAAATACTATTCCCGAATCTGAAGTATTTCAAGTCTTTCAATTTCAAATATTGTGAATAATAATGCAGCCCCTCAAAAACCTTGTTAATATTGGTTTCAAAATACTTTTGCAGGTTCAAGGTGATCTTTTATTCAAAACTTTCAACATTATTCATAACCCCGTATTCTACCAACTTGTGTAGAAAAATCGTCTTTCAACCATTAAGGATGACACTGAGTGCCTCATGAATTTTGACATTTGCATTCATGATATGGGTTAGCAAGGTTGCATTCGAAGGTAACGACTTTGTTATCAGAATAATTATAATTCACTAGAGATTCACGATACAGAGCTTATAAACTTATTAGGTGATCGACTATATTAAATTATTTTTTGTACAACTGTCATTAAAAATATTTTCTACGCGTTTTTTTTTCCCAAATAGCAATAAACAAAACATAATTATTCAATTTTCAAGGAAGTTTTATTATGAACAATAAATTCTGTTACAAATGTATTATATTCATTTATTACATTATTATTTATGAACATTAACATGAAAAGTACAATTAGAACAACTGCTGATTATAATACCTTGTGATGTTGAAGAGACTTGTAATATATTTGAACTGAGTTGACAATTTCATGGGCATAAACTTTTAATTCTTGAATTAAAGAGAACGATGCTGTAACGCTAGAGCTCTAGCTGTTGGAATTATTCTCCCAGCAATAGCCTTTTTATAAGATATAGATTGATCGATGTAACCCTCAGCTACTGTTGTAGACTTCCATCCTCCGTGCTTCTTAATATCCCTTATAGCTGCTCATGATTCTGCTAGCAAAGAAGCAGAAGACCTTCTGAAACACTGACCTGTATATTCCTTTGGTTCTGGGAGGTTCAGAAACTCAGCAATGGTAGAAGAGGGCATTTTTCCAAACGTGCTTATACTAACTGGATTGGCACTGCATTTATAATTTGAGTATTTCAGAAAAAAACGTTGATGACTGACAACGTATTTTTTAAATAGTCAATGTTTTTTCTAACAATGCAAAAAGAACGACTTTTGTTCGTTTTTGTATTTGGAATTCGAACAATCAATGATTTATCCATTACTTTAATGTCTTCTATTGATAAATGGCACAGCTCTTCACGCCGGCAGGCTCCATATATTCCAGAAATAGTAGCAACTTTTGGCCCTATAACTTTCATTTTTCCGCTTTAAGAATACTATTACCTTGAAATATTTGCTTGTATTAACACCATTTTTAAAGAACGCACTCGACTTTATCATTGAAAACTTGCTCCACAAAGTTGACGAGTTCCATATTTTTGGTTTCTCTTCCAGATAGGCGAGGAAGACGGTTTCGCTGAGATTTCCTTCGACGTTTTAAAGTCTACACTAGCTAAGAAAATTAGAATATGCGATGTCGTACTGCTGAGTCAATTTTTTTGGTAACAATTCAATCGAAGCTCTTTTTTGCAGCCTCTTCAATATTGTCAGGACACACAATTCCTCACTATTGTTCTTCATTATGCAAGACATTAAACACCAGCAAGAACTTCAAATATGACTTTTAATAAAACGCGTGAGCTGTAAACAATACTGTTTGTTGGTAACCAAGTGATTTGGCGTCACCTGACACGGCCACTTTAACATTAAACTATTTAACTGACAAGAGATGTCGAAATGTGTTTTTATAGAAATATTAAATGTATCTACTTTATCATGAAAACAGGACAGTTGTACCAAAAACTTTGTATGATATTTGTGTTAAGAGTAAGTTTCATTTTGTTCGTGAAATTGTTCAACTCGCTACGCTCGTTTCGCTAACTTTTTCACTCACAAAATGAAACCTGACTTTTGAGACTCATATCATAAATAGCTATATTTTCACTGTTCTAAACGAGGGGAAAGATGATAGTAATTTATGACAATTGAAAAAAAAGAACATCTATTTCAACTAGACTGGGTTCCACAGTTATAATTATAAATCAACAATAACAACTGTAAATTACCCAATTCACAGTTATACAACAGTTATATAATTCACAGTTATACAACTGTGAATTAAAATGTATTGAATCACAAAATCCTTGAATATTTCACTACAAATTTGAGAATCGATTGTAGACAGCAATGTTCTCGTGTGTATACTTTACAATTTTATACAGTGGGCATCAGCATATTACAGTGTGCATAGTTACAAAACAGACTGCACGTCATCTGCAAATTGGCAGTCGAATATCTTTTCTGGGTTATTGATATATGTCAAAAGTACCTGGAAAATACAGCTGCGCATTATCAACGTTCAACTCAATACATCTCGAACTACATTTTCTGAAAACTCTGTCTCCTTTTGGAATAAACCTACCGAGATTTTTTTCCAAATTAATTAATCGACCAATGTTAATCACCACTTTCACACTTCTTGCTTCAACATCTTCATAAAAAATATTCAACTTCAGTGAAAGTAAGATAGGTTACAGGTTAGATTTTGTTTCATTGAAAATGTTTCCATAAATTCTGTATAGTTGCACTTTATAGTTGAATCTAGTGTTGGGTTAAGCTGCGTCCTTAATGAGTTGACATTGTCGATCGATACTGTCGACTAACAAATCGAAAAGGGTCACCTGTCCATACTTGAGTAGACAAATTTGCCGATCAGTTGAAGTCGAAAGCAAAATGTTGCTTGTGCCGTGTTTGTTATTGTCGCGTCTAAAAGGAAAGTATTTGCCTTTGTATATACCTTCCATGCCACTGCCAGATTCATTGCTAGCTTTTTTTATTTCTCTTGCTAACTGACTTCGAAGATTTTTAATTTTTTGTTCTACCACTTGCCTTTTCGCCACCGTCACACTGATTTAAAAATCTGGATTCAGTGGATTCTACTCGACTCTCCTTTGGTTCTACCGATAGTCCATAGAAAAGCATTCGAAATGTCGATCGTCAGAGTCGACTGCGGCATACACACAGTATATAACTTATTAGTACCTCTTTCAATGAAATTGCCCAAAGATTGGATCATTTGAGATAATACAAAAAGTTGGCCAACGCAACGACTGTTTCTTCTGAGACTTCGATATATTACCTTCATCTTCGCAATCAACGCATTCATCACTGATGATATCTGCCGCAGTAGCAAACGAAACGTTTAGGTTACATAGGTTACATTCGACCACGACCTACAGGCCAGGATTTCATTCTCTAATCGTGACTTCGGTCGTGAAAGCCTATGTTGGGACATAGGAAATTGTGCAGGAAATTTATTACCCGCATTGATTACATTAGGAAACTCACAGAAATAAATCCTTACTCAAAATGCACAACTTCGGTAACCTGACAAAATGTTACTCTGCACTTTCGCTGAAACTACATCTTTACAGAGGGGGGAGGGGTGACTAAGTGATCTCTTACCACATTAAATATAATGTAGGGCTGCCGCTGACTTACCTCTTTATCCTTATTTTGCTGTGATACAAATTTGTTCATTTTATTGTAATTGTCGTTTTTGGCATTATTGACAGTTGTTTGTTTTGAGTAAGTTTCTCAATGTTTTGCTGACTTGTATCTCCAGGAGAACAAGTATTTTCTGCCAATGTAGATGCTGAATAGCTTCGTTGACAAAATGTGATGAAACTTAACCGTGAAGGAGTCATTCAGTGCATTTATTTCATCACGGAACGGTTGAAAATGGAAAACAAACAAATGTATCTTACGATTTATTTTTATCTTCATGAAAAATTACAATTATAAAATTATAACAAATAGTTCTTGCATTCCTGAAGTTTTGAGTTGCTCAGTAAATGAGAATTGAAACAGACAAAACAAAAAAAATCATATCACAGATTGTAGAGTAATCCGTTTCATCGAACAAATGGAGTGATCACGTGCTCTCTCTCTCGAATATTTTAACAGTTTACGAAAACGCGACAAGTTTCACTATACAATAGTTTCTTGCAAAACGTGTAACACATGTGGCGGATTTGTAAACTGATAAGTGAAAATCCGAGTGAAAATCTCAAGATGAGAGTACATGGTATGGCAGTCATGACAAATATTTGGCGTTCCGACAGAACATCTAATCAGTGGTATATGTCGAAAATGTTACAAACTCAAACGTGTCAAATACTTGCTGATTATACGAACAAGAATTTTTGTCACTGAATTGACCATTGCCGTCACTTTTGCAATATCGTGTACTCCTAATAAAATCTTAATGGCAGAGACAAATAATACTGCGTACCAATGATACTGCGTACAGAACACGCATTTTTACAACTCCAATTGTTCAGTGAACAGACTGTAACGCTAAAACTGTTATTCATCAACTATTTTTTTGTTTTTCATTTCCTTTACTGCTTGTAGAACTATCGTCATCACTCAGTTCAACTACTTCCTCCTCACTAATTTCAACGACTATACCAGTATCGCGAATCTTGTTGTCTTTATGAATTAGTTTTTTCCTATCTACTGGATTGTCAAGTTTTTCGCCTTTTTCAATGTTTTTCCGAATGTTACTTTCATCACTTTTTTTCAAGTTATTTTCCCTACTCTCCTCCATAACACTGACAAATACCACTTGCTCCCCTCTTATCATCAACTGATCAACGTGCCTTACGCAGCTCTCCAGCTTTTTATCTGATTCATGAGGAAATACCTTCACTTTCGGCGGACGAACATGGTTTCTCATTATTTTCCTAACTTCCACTGATTGATGAACGGTATCTGTAAAAGACAATTACTATGTTATTAATTTAAGCATAAATTTGAAAGTTACAACAATTGAAAGTCACCAAAAACATGCATTTTTTCTATCAAAAATTTTAATGAAACAAAAATTTGTAATGAAGAACTTCATACAAGTGTATAACACTTCTAGTTCATCCCGATAAGTTACTGCGAAAAATCAATATATTTTTCTCAAAGAAAAATGTTCTATATATCGGTAACTTATCATATTTAATAATTTCACCTTTCGAACAAAAAAAAATTGAAAACTGAAGCAAGTTTCGAGAAGAAAAAGCAGATTTTAAATTCTGAAGACGAAGCCAGAGTTAGGTCTCTGAAACGTCCAAATCTACAAATCTACGTCCACGGGGACTGTAGACTTGGCGGTTCGTATTGGTTAATTTTTACTAACCGAGTTTTATGATTGGCTGAAGAGTCATAACATTAAATTTGAAGTCATGTTATGGTGACGAACAGAAATCGGAGAGTGTGGGGATGGTTATCGCCGTCGTGTCAAACTATCACAAGTAACATCAGATTTGACATCTTAACTGTACGTAACATCTTAACTGTACGTAAAATAGTCAAAAACAAACCTTGTGAACGCAAGACGCGATGTGATATAGGAGAACCAAAACCTTTAGATATTGTTCAATACAAAATCTGATATCTTTGTCAACGCATCAGAAGTATTGTGAATGTTTCGTCTTTACCTTTCGTTCGAATTTGATTTTAATTCATTATTATTGAGTATAACTACTTTTTTCATCCTTGTGTTTTCTGAAACTATTTTATATTTTATATTACTGTACTTGCCTCAATTTCTGAGTATATAGCGCACCCCCATACAGGATATTCCGTCAAAAATGGTCGGGAGTGCGACATAAACTGCCCAAGGTTCTATTTTAAAATATGTGCGCTATCTATTTACCAAAATCGTGCAAAAGGACAATATTCAAGTTTATGTCATAGGAAATACAGTCCACATATTGTTACTCAATAGCGAGATCAGTTCTTGGACCAACTTTGTTTCTGATAGTAAAAAAACTACCGCCATCAAAGGCAAATTCACGTTGTTTACTGCAAGCATACCACCAAAGCGCAACCGAAACAACCCGAGAAATTACCCAGACGTTTGGCAATGATAGTGTTAATGAACGAACTGTTCGACGTTAGTTTGCAAAATTTCGTTCCGGAGATTTTAGCCTCAAAGACAAGCCCCAAAGTGGTCAACCTACAGTAATTCAGGACAAATATTTGATGTCCCTGGTGGTGCGTGGGATGGCGGAAGAACAGGGCGTCAGCTCCTATGCGGTTTTTGATGGTTTAAAACGCACTGGAAAGGTCAGTTTAATATTAGAACGATTGACAGAAATTTTCACGTTTCGAGGCCCCTGAACTCTCGCCAATTATCATCTTTCCTCACCGGTAGAACCTTCGTCAATCAGGTCCAGACAAAAGCGGCCTTCGTCGAATCCAGAGCACCCACTTTATATTGTTGTAAATCATGCCCTAAAGAAAATAACGCTGGCCGCCACTGGTAGCCATAAACCAATTGTGACGTGGCAAAGAGCGCGCTCAATTCGACTGACATTTCGTGGCTAGTCTACCGTCTTCGATGGAATTCCGACGAATTTTCCAGCGCCTTCGATTGCCAAATATGAGCGCCATCCACTCGCCTATCGAGACAGTCAAGTGGAAGTTACAGTGCGGTACGCGAAGCGATCTAGTAAGGCGATAGACATTCGAATGATAGTAAAACTTTCAGTTAGTGTTTGTTGTATTTAAAGTGAAATAAAGTTGAGTTTGATTATTGTTCAGTGTAGTCAATTATTGGTCAACCCACGGGGAAAAACGTAAAAATATGCTGACGGATAAATGGACCTGTGTGCACTGATTCAAATGACGCTTATTTTAATTGAATTGAATCATTATTCACCGAAATACTACAGTTTAGAGTAGACTCATAACAACAGAAAAAACTTTTGAACCAACCTTATAGAAATATTTGCACATTGTACTATTTTTGTACCATCTCAGTTGTAGGGTCAAGCGGGGCTATTGTGATACAAATTAACAAACTTTTAATATTAACCCAAAAACTAAACACATTTGAACCAAACAAAAAATACCTTAATATGTATTTTAAGCATCTTTATACTACTAAGTAAGTAAAAGAGTTGTATTTTGTAGGGGAAAGTGAGAAAAAAAATTAAAGTGTGTATCATATTAACCCCACCCAATGGGGCTATTATGATACAAGGCAGGGGCTAAAGTGATACAGTACTGTATTTCAGTGCATAGTAGCAATGGAAAGATGAGGGGGCTATTGTGATACAGCCAATGGCCTAGTGTATCACCAGTTTTTTTTCATATATATTTTTTTATCTGGATGTAACGAGGTAAAAATCTTGTTTATTCCACTTCTAAATGTTCGAAAGTAGGTTTGAAGTTACTGTGTATATTTCTGAACAAAATAAACTGGTGTTGGTGCCTCTGGAAAAAATAATTCTAGATTAAAATAAAGTTAATTCTTCAAATAATACTTAAAAAAAACAAAATTCAGCGGTTTTTAATCACAAGCTTTGAGTTACTTCTTAATAGAGCACTTCAATCATTATTTACTTTTTTCTTCTTTCCTCTTTATTGAATGTTGTAGTTTTTGATTGTAAGAGGGAAAATGAGTTCTCCCCTTCGCCCAGGCTGGGGTTCTGGCAAATATTCTATGATAGCAGAAGAGTCCACAACAGACAAATCTTTTGGTTCTTTCCAGTAGAAGGTGGTAGTTGATGGAGTTTTTTCCCTGACTCTTGTGAACTTCACTGAAGCACAGATTTCTTTAATGGAAATTTTACTACAACCTAATCATTCAGCTGAGGCTTGTAAATTTTTGGACTGTCTTGTTGGGCAATGAGAGCTTCAAATTCACGTTCCTCTTGTTCTCCCATTTCAGCTATTTTTTTACACAAGTCTTCCAAATCGCAATCACTCTCATCTTGACATACAACGGCATCATCATCAATATCAGAGTCGGTATCGAGCCACGGATCCCTCCTCTTAGACTTTTTCTTTTTACACACCATTTCACTTGGACTTATTCCTACGTCAATGTTTTCAATCAAGGTGCTGGCAGGATCATAATAGCCTCTTTCGCTGTATCGTATTAGCCCCCAACTTTAAAATGTAATAGCTTTGATTAAAGTTGACCTATTTTGAAAGCAGAAAAATGTTAATTGAAGCTTTCTTAACCCAATAAAATATGTAGAGGAAAGTGAAGTTGAATAATAAGTGTGTAGTGACAAAAGTTTTAACTTGCCGCAGAGAGTTCTTCACCCAAAAAATTCATAACTTTGCATTTCAATTTTTAATGTGACTAAATATTTAATTTGAACCCTCTGTATTTCTAACATAATAATATACTATGTATCCCTTTTGATTTTATTAGGGATGCAGTTCCAAACTACAACGGTCTTCCAACCCGAATGGAGATAGTAACACTGAAAATCTGGCCGCGACAGCCTTTACCAATGAATCATTTTTCCTAACGAACTGCTCTAGAACATTAAAACTGCAACACTGTTCTCGACGCGTGTGTCACCAGCCAAGTTGGCGTTGTTAGAAGACGAACTTCATTACAGTATAGTAACCATCAAGTGGTTTCAAAAATTACGATGAAAGAAAATGGTTGAAAAATCATCTAGTGTGTGGCAACAACTTTCACTTACTCACAATATATACAATAGATCGCTTCAAAAACATTTTACTAACTTTCTTCGAAAACATCTGATAATTCCACTTCCATATTCTCTGTTTCACAATCACTGTCGTTATTTAAATCAATAATGAATTTATTTCTACCATTGATATGGAAGTGTCCAATCTCCATTTAGTCTTTTTCAACTAAAATTACTTTTTTAATCCTTTCCTGCCAATATTCTTCGGTGATATTAGATACTTCTTCTTTAACTAGCTCTATTACCTTCTTATCTAATATTAGATACTTCTTCTTTAACTAGCTCTATATACAAGGATGATCTACACATCCATGTATAGAGTTACTTATTTTAAAATTGATTACTTCCTTCTTCTCCTTGGAACATTCCCTCATCCTTGTTTTTTGTATCAAGATGGAGTAGTAGAAAGTTAAAAACTTTCTTTCCCAAAAATTAATCACTCCTAAAAATATAACCCCTTCAATTCATGTCTAGTTTCTTTCAGTAGTTAAGTAAAGATCTGAGTATTCATCCCGAATAAGATTCTGCCAGATGCTTATCAATTGACTGGCAAAATGTTCCCACACTGATGACTTCATTTGGGCAGTAATGAAAAACTAATATTTTCAAATCGATCTGAAGAATGCAAAATTTCCTTTTTATGAGAAACATTCCTCGTGTCTGAATGTTAAAGATTACAACCGTCTAAAATTCTAAGTCTGAGAATGAAATTCAAATACAAAATTATTCTCTATTTATGATCTCTATACTCACTAAAAGCGGGTACTTTCATTTTTTTCGGTCTATTCCAATATTCGGTAACATCTTCTAGGACCATGTTCCAAAACTTATCGTAAGCTACAAGGTAGGCCAAACAATATCCTCGTATGGTTTTTTGGTTTCTCGTCCAAACCTGCAATAAATTATATAATTTTAGCTGCTGTATATCAAAGTTTGTAATGGAATTGGTCGATGATTTATGAAAATCCATTACTTTAGTTTACAAAACCGTGACATGTGTTTCAGCATAAAATACATTCCTCGGGCGTTAAGTGAAAATGTGTTGATCAAATACAGTATATTGAATTGTTATACAAATTTGTAACAAAATTACAGTCAAACATAAGTAATCGTTTAGTCTTCTGAGCAAGATTCTATGATTTGTAGTATAAACCTAATTTATCTATCGAGTTGGTATCTCTAAGCAAAAATACTTCGTAGCTGAAGGCATATAGTTTCGACTTCAAAAAAGAAACCTCCTCTAGCAACCTCCAGGAATGAGTACCTAATTCTCAAGTGAGTCAGTGCCGCTCTCGATTCTGTCCATCCAGATCCATCGACATGAATTATTCAATTATACGAGGTCTGTTCAAGAAATAAGGTGTACTTTCATTTTTCTCAAAGAATATGTTCCAATCTCCGAAGCAATTTCTCCTCAATCGTCGCAAAACGCCCTCCTTTCATGGGTCTCTTCCGAACAGAAAAAAGTCGCAGGGGGCCAAATCTGGTGAATACGGTGGCTGAGGTATGTTACCGTATTGTTTTTGGCCAACCAAATTAGAAAAAGCAATGGCAAGTGAGCAGCTGCATTATCGTGATGCAAAAGCCATAAATTGATTTTTCACAATACCGGGCGTCTTCTTCGTATTGCTTCTCGCAAGTGGCACGTAACTTCAAGAAAATACTCTTCATTGACTCTACCATGTGGCAAGGACTCCTGATGCACTACGCCGTAGTAATCTATTAGTATTAGTATTCATAGTATTCTATTCCTTACATTGCATAATAGAGATATCTGTTTACATCTGAGGTTGTATTTTTTTTGTACCTTGGGAGCTGTCTGACATGTCCATTTAGTCCAAGTCTCCAGAAAACACTGCAGCCTCTTGGGCTTATTGCGTTCATTCTCCCATCTTCTCATGACACCCATTCTATCAGTCTCGTTCCCTGTACTAGTTTGTACAGGTTCCGTGTTGCATGTTCGTCTTATTCTTCAGGGCGTAATTTTGTACGTCCATATATATCCTGCCTCCTGTGATTCAGTGCCTCACATTCGCATAAGATGTGTAGGGCTGTTTCTATCCCTTCGTTGCATAACCTGCATCTGAGGTCTCCGTTGTACAGCCCCATTTTATTCAGGTGTCCTCTAAGCGGACAATGACCTGTTAGTAACCCTGTAATTATTCTGAGCCGATTCCTACTATATTGAAGTAGTTCTTCAGTTCTTTTCTCGGACGGTTCCCTAATGAAGGTTCTACTGTGTTTGTTGCCAGGTACTTTTTTCCAGTACTCTGTGTGCTCCTTATTGGTTCATGTCCTAATCTGGTTTCGTACCAATGATTTTGGTACCCCCAGAGCTGGTTCAGGATCTATATACGAAGTTGATGATCCGCATCTAGCGCATTTATCAGCTTTGCTGTCTGTAAAAATATTGATCCATTCTATTTATCTGTTGAGTATTTCCTGGTATTTCCCTCATCAAATGACAATACACACTCAAAAATTTCACAAACCCGTTTCTTGTTGTGGCACATGTAAATATTTTCGCATTTTCAATATCGTTATCTTCGACATTATGCCGACAGTTACTCAATTATTATGGTGGTGGCCAAGGCATACCTTGATGACCGCGGTGTTTGTTTGGCGTGGTAACCTTGTTCGGCAACCTCGCTAGGACCTCCATCAAGGCTCTATGGGAAAGTATACGGTTTTTGAAATACGGAATTCGAATGCGGGTAAAATTCATGAGTCGGCAAGATAACCGAAATGTTTGTCTTCGAGAATTTCGAATGCAAAAGAGGCACGAATATCAATAAGAATATTTTCTTGATATTTTTATGGTTTATGGATATTTTTTACCAGTTATAATTTATAGAAAAAAAACTCATCACCAATAGCTAATACCGAAAATGCGGAAAATTCGAGAATAAAATTGCATATTTGACATTTTGCGAAGTCGGTATCATCATTCGAACTGAAATGTAAAGATTTGGAGAATAGCAATTTTGTACAATTTCTGAATTAAATTGATATATAAATATTTCAAAACGAATTTTTTGTCTGTCTTTGTTTGATAACGATACACTCAAAAACTATTTTTCCTACTCACTTTCACTAACATTCATACAATTTCCATGAGAGTTTTATGATTGGCTGAAGAGTCATAAAATTAAGTTCGAAGTCATGTTACGGTGACTAATAGAATGCGGGGATGTACGTAAAATAGTCAAAAACAAACCTTATGAACGCAAAACGCGATGTGATACAGGATTACCAAAATCTCCAGATGTTCATCTAATAAAATAATTGAAAAAACAATATACGACTGTGAAAAAAGCAATGAGATTCCTACAACTGAAATCATAAGGAAGAAATTGAATACTTTCGGCCACAACGTGAGCTGCTGTGACAAAATTCTTCAGAATTGGAGAAAGAAACTAGGAATCAGATTTAAAATAATAAACAAACGTCAAGCAGTTATAGAAAGAATGAAGAATAGCGGAATTACGTAACAAATACGTATAACAAATAACTAAATATAGACAAGAACAACGGCAAATTTTCTGTTTGGAAGAAACTTGGTATGACAGTCACGACACAGTTACGAAAGGGTGGACTGATGGTTCGAGAATGTGAACGCATAACAAGCCTGCAAACAAAATTTTATAAGAATGTAATAGAGCTATTTAAGAAGAAGTATCTTATATTATCTAATATTATCTAATATTGAAGGGGAGCTATTGGAAGGTAGGTTCCACTATATCGTTCATTTGATCGGTTGTCGAAATGGATATGACTTAATCACAAAAATTATTTGACAAAGTGATATAAAAAAAAACCTTTTTGGTTCTTATAGTTAACAGCTCATAGTTTTCTACATCAGCCATCGGTAGAATATTCACTGCTTTTTATACAACTTTACGTAGAGATTTAAACATAGAAAGAAATCGAAATACTTCTCTACTCTCAAACTCGTGTCTTTATCTCAGGACAATCCCTTTGGACGATGTTCCCAAATCACGTGAATGAAAAACGGCCGATTGGTGAGGACTAGAGAAAGGCTAGATTGAATTGAGCACTGATCGCAGAAAACATTAATCACTCATAGCCGTGATAGTTTTAGCCATGGCGTTGACCATGAAGAACAGTCGGCCAGATTCATAGCTGCACGATTCTTGGCATAGTTCAGTGAATTCATTTGTCACAAGGATTGATAGTTGAGTTGGAAAGAAAAATACATTCAGCATTTAATAACTTTTTGTTTTTTGAATAGATTCAACAATTTCAATATTTGCATGGTTGATCATGTCAGTGAAAAGATAAACCGTTAAATATATTTGGCAGTTTGACTTGGATTCCACATAGGAAAATTACTTCTATGAAATCTTCCATAATCAATTATTTACCAAAAAAATTACATATGAAATTCATTAGAAACTCTTTAAAAACAATATAATTTGTGAAGAGAAATCGAAGAATAGATATTCATAAACTGATCAGAGGTTAAACCACTGTCCGAATATATTGTCATATGCTTGTATTTATCTACCCCATTTCTCAAATCACAATGATTAATAATAGCCTATAATATAGATACTCATTATTCACTAGCTATAACATGTCTGAAATACCCGCGAATAGATAAAGCAATAATATAGATAATTCTGTGAAATACAGATCCTGAGCTTGAGAGTTACAAACAAACAAACATACATACATACAGGTGAAGCTAATAAAATCGTGTAAATCGTGTAACTCCTGGGGTAGACATATAAAAACCAACAAGTCACTCATAAACAAGTATAACATATCAGGTGTATAAACTAACATGCGGATCGTGAAGGAAGGACTTCAAGGAATTTTAAAACGAGGATCCTCGAAGATAAAAGAAGTTTTGAACTGAAGAAGACCAATTCCACCAATAGGTGCCACCTTTTAGAAAACAATCACGATTTCAACATTAATTACAAAATCCTTCATACTGAAAATAAAGGACATTAATTGATGCTGGCAAACATTCAAATTCTCTATTGAACGACTAACAAGAGGTGGACCGCTCAACATCGCGAAACCTTTTTTTAATGCCATAATTTAAAATTTGCCTGCTGTCCAAAAATTGAGATTGTAATGGTTTTTGAAATTGTACCTGTTATTCCATTTACCAGTAACCGGTTAAGTGAGTTAACTACTACTGTTGTATATGTGTGTGTACTATTACTACCGATGAAACTACGGTGTTAAGGGAACGCATCTGGAATGAAAATTTTATTTATGGAGTTTGGAGTTGAATATCAAATGCTTTGTTTTTGAACTACTCTGCCACATTAGTCAATTTAAATGGTCGCTGCTGAAGAGATTCGATAAATGATCTACATATTATTAGGTATATGTTGTGAAAAGGGGCCTACAACAGAGAATGTGCTAAAAATTCAATGAATTGTAAACCAAGCACGTCTTAAACTAAAATCTACAAAGAAGCCTGGACCTTGATTTCGAAAACTGTGTTGTAGATGAATACAATAATTGGTGGGGAGAAATTCCTAAAATGGCTAGTAAAGTCCTGAACTACTTGAATCTTCATTTGACTGCACTATAAGTACGCGTTCACTATCGACCTGGTCGACTGTCGTAAGCAATCCACTAACCTTCTGCCTCTGTTTTCCTTGTTGAGAAATAACTATTTAAATTCTGAATCGACAGAGGTCATCCAAGATTTTTTTAATAGCCACACTGGTTGCCATTGACGAGGCTGTATTTGGTTACAGGTAGGGTTTTTATAATAGTTTGCATTGAATATATTATTAGAAACACTACTGCTTGCGTTAGATGACAGAATCCTTGATATCGCTCAGATCGAAGCTTTTAAAAAATTATTTGATTTTTTTATCGTTTTTCAATGAGTAATTATTCACG